TCCGACTTTCGCTTAGGTCATGGTCTCGCGATTCGTGGGTTCGAGCCCCGCGTCAGGCTCTGTGCTGACTGCCAGCTCAGAGCCTGAAGCCTGTTTCAGCCTGTGACTCCCTCTCTCTATGACCCTCCCCTGCTCACGCTGTCTCTGTCTCTCTCTCTCTCCTAGAAATAAATAAAACATTTAAAAAAAATTTAAAAATAAATAAAAGTTTGGCTTTGTTAAAAAAAAAAAAACAACCCATGATGTGTGAATATGATTTTTGATGTGATTAGGCTGTGTTTATAAAACCAGGGAAACTGATGTCAGTTCATCATTAAGTATATTTGTAGGGAATCTAGAACCTTAATGGTAATATTTATGTATAATTTGTAAGTTTGCAAATTTCATTTCCCCAGTTGTTATAAATGACCTATTTATTTGCTTTGCTATTAATCTGTAAAAGGAGAAGAGTGTTTTTATATGCCTGTTAATAATCTCCTCGCCAAGGATTTCACCTTAAGCTTTGTCTCATTTCAGTCATGCTGAACCAAGTATGTAAGGAATCCATATACCACACCATGTATTTCTTAGTAATGTGTGCATTTATCAAACCTTGTTAAACCACGTAAGTACGTGTCCTCAAAGACTTACCCCTTTGAGTTATGCTCAAAGATGTTTCTGAGCACCACCTTCTGTCCAAGAAAATGTTTGGCAAGGTTTTCATTTTTTTCCTATTCTGAGAATTCGAGAACTAGGCAGAGATAGTACACAGTTACCCTCTGGCCAGTGTCCTGTATTCCTATCCCCTGTGGGGTCTCTTCCCCTTTAAAAAAAATTTTTTTTTAAAAATATTTGTTTATTTTTGAGAGAGACACACACACAGAGTGTGAGTGAGGGAGGCTCAGAGAGAGAGGGAGACACAGAATCTGAAGCCGACTCCAGGCTCCGAGCCAGACACGGGGCTCGACCTCACAAACGGTGAGATGAGATCTCAGCTGAAGTTGGGGATGCTGAACCCACTGAGCCACCCAGGTGCCCCAGCGTCTCTTCCCTTTTGCTTCAGAATATGTTGTCTTTCTCTTGACTTCTGTTGTTTTCATTGGGCTCTCCAGCCTCATGAAACTCCTACTGAATATTCTTACTTTTTAAATGAACACAAACCATTGTGTTTCCCCCTAATTCCTCGTGCACCCCCTGATTCCTTGTCCTTGCTGCACTTCAGGAGCACTGGGTGCTCCCGGGAACACCCTTCCATCTCTCTTCCTTGTGTCTGATTCTGAAGTTTGGTTCATAATATATTTATATTAAACGTGCTTTTGCAAACTGCACATTTACTGCTGTCAGGTAACTGTCCAGGGCCAGTTCAGGGATCTGTTTGTTCCTCAACTCTCCTCTGCCATTTTGTCACTTTTAGAACTTTCAGTGCTGCATTTACTAGGATTTAGTATTGTTTCATTTTCTTGAAACCTTTTGTGCTCTGTGTCATTTTCCTCCTAATTTTTCTGTTAAATTTATTTCTGTTTTATCCATCTTCATGCTGACTCCTCTAACTGTGGATGTATCCCAGTAATTGGGTTTTTGGCCTCTGTTCTTTTGGTTCCCTCTCACCCACCTGCTTCTGTGTCTGTGTCACCTCCTCAGACTGTTAGGTCCAGCCTCTTATGACTGTCCTAGATCTTAAATCCCAGTGGTTGTGAGACCTTTTTGTTTTGTGACACCTCGTTAACATAGCATTTTGAAAGCTGAATTCTTGTTAGGATATTTATGTGATTACATGAATTAAAAGTCCCTACTTTGCTTATGCGGGTACTTCCAAGCCTATCCCCGAGAAGAACCTGTAAGTCACTACCTTAGCCTGCCCTCAGCCTTCTGAGCAAGTGCAGGGGGCTGAGTGCCAGCAGCGCCTGGCCGGGGGCTGTGGCAGCGGCCGGGCTAGCGCTGGTCACTTTGTCCTCTTGTGCCCGCCCCCCGTGCCGCGCGCTGGTCCGCGGCCTCTACCCCTGCTGGCTTCTGTGGCCAGACTTGCTTCCTTTCAGGGTGCCATGTTCCGAGGTTGCCTTTTGGGCCTCTAACCCTCACCAGGTCATCGGGACTTAACATTTTCATTTTTCAGGTGCCTCTCAAGAAGTTCTCCAAAGGAAAGTAATCTGATGAAGTGCGGCCAGAAGATGCTGTGTGTGCGCGGGAGACACACTACAGGAGGAGCACACGCGAAGTGTGGTGACGCGGATAGGCAAAACCTAGACGGCCTGAGAACCGTGATGACGGAAGCTTATAGAGTTTGCCTTCTTACCTCAGAGTACTGCTCTTAGGATCAAGTGAAATGTCATGAATGGCCCCTTGTCGTCTGTGAAGTACGGGAGAAAGCCTGGTTGTCGCTGGCCGGCCTCCCTGCCTTCTCTTCCGGGGAGAGGGTGAGGGAAGGTGTGGTGCAGTCTGCTGACTGGCTTCCCCGCCGTGTCTCTCTCTGTGGCTCATGGTATCCTACAAGCCGCTTCAGATGAATCTTGCTAACCTGTGTTCTCAACGTTCCTTCGCTACCGTGGATATCTGTTCTGTGCTAATGTTGCGCTTAGAGCATGTAGTCTGTTCTCCCTCTGTAACGCAGGGCAGTAAAGACTTTATGTGGGAGCAAGGGCAGCTTAGCTCCTTAGTCACCTAGTAGGAGACGGTACTGAATAGAGCTTTAGTCACTATGATAACATTCAGCAAGAGCACTGGTGAACAATGGTTATTGTGAAAATAGTATTCCTTGATCTGGAGTCTTGGCGGGGTGGATGGGTGAGGGGAAATCTTTTTAATTTAAATTTGAGGGGCGCCTGGGTGGCTCAGTCGGTTGAGCGTCCAACTTTGGCTCAGGTCATGAGCTCGCGGTTCGTGGGTTCAAGCCCTGCGCCGGGCTCTGTGCTGACAGCCAGTTCAGAGCCTGGAGCCTGCTTCGGATTCTATGTCTCCCTCTCTCTCTCTCTGACCTTCCCCTGCTCGCGCTGTCTCTCTGTCTCAGAAATAAATAAAACATTAAAAAATAATAATAATAATTTAAATTTTGAGGAGCGCCTGGGTGGCTTAGTCGGTTAAGCGTCCGACTTTCGCTTAGGTCACGATCTCGCGATTCGTGGTTTCGGGCCCCGCGTCGGGCTCTGTGCTGACTGCCGGCTCAGAGCCTGGAGCCTGTTTCAGAGTCTGTGTCTCCCTCTCTCTCTGACCCTCCCCTGTTCACGCTGTCTCTCTCTCTCTCCTAGAAATAAATAAAAATATTAAAAATAATGATAATTTAAATTTTGAATTGCAGATTGCCTGTAAGTTTATAGTAGAAACTGGCTGAAGTTTTAGACTCTCTTAAATATGGTGTAGTGGTAACATGCTAGAATTTTTTACATACTTTTTGTGAATGTTCCAATTTGCAATAGTTTGTTAGTAATAACCGGAAATAAAGTAACTGGATTCTCAGATAGACTCTGTATGTGGTCAGGGCTTAAGAATCTGCATTTCTTTTCTTAAATAGTTTATTGTCAAGTCGGTTTACATATAACACCCAGTGCTCATCCCAACAAGTACCCTTCGCCATGTACATCACCCCCCAAGAATCTGCATTTTTAACACCGTGTTTTCAGTTATGTGGTTCAACCCTAAATTAAATGGAAAGAAACTAGCCAGAATTGGAGGGCCGCTGTGGAGACTGGATCTTGACAAGCTATGGAGGGCGGGACAGTTCCCCCAAGTGTCTAATTTCCTCACTGCAAGAGAGTTACTGGAACCTGTATAGACAAGGATCTGGAGTCTTTATAATGCGAGGAAAATAATTTACGGTGCAGATGTCATTCCAGCTGGACACCGTTTCAGGAAATTCACACAGCAAAGGACAGCCGATGGCATTTGGGGGATGCGCGGCCTTTGCAGGCGAGGGAAGCTGTTGACGTCTCGGCCCAGAGCCGTGGACTCTCCTGCCCCCACGTGCACGGACTGCTGTCCCCGTAAAGCCGGGAACACCGAAAACCTTAGTCGGGGACTGTCAGCTGCAGGAGACCTGATGGGGTCTCCGTCTCCTCACATCACAAGTGGCACGGACGCAGCCCTGTGTGGCTGGCGTGGGGTCCGTGTTGTCCTCAGGGCCCCGGGCACCTCCTGTCTGCCTGCCCGCCTGCCCGCGGTGCTCGGGCCGTCCCTCCATCCTCAGGGCCGCGCCTCCCGAGGAGGGAGCAGCAGGGCAGACATGGCACCGGCACCGGCGCAGCGGGACTCAGAGACCCCAGCAGGCCCCTCGCTCTCACTGGCTGCTGCCCCCTCTTAGCCAGAGATGCTGGGAACAGCCTTCTAAGCTGGGCGCGTCGCCGTGCCCCGCCCGTAACCTGAGGTCTTCTGCTTAAGGGAAAGGAGCCCGCGGATACTGGGCAATCAGCCACCAGAAGCGGCGTGTGCTGCCGTGATCAGTAGAGTTCTGAAAGACCCTAGGTCTGTGGCGCTGCATTCGAACTCTGTGCCATCACCAGTTCCCGAGCGTGGGAACGGGGATCCGTCCCCCGAGGTCTCCTTCGGCGCCTCCCAGCCTTGCCTTTCTGGTTTTCACATTTCCTTGCTGCTAATTAACAGCCAGCTGCTTTCTCAGAGGTGAAATGTGACGATTTAATTTCCTTATCTACGTGTATTTGCTTATATGGATCCGTTTCGCACGTGGATTTAGATTTTCTTTCACATTCCAGTAAATGTCTTAAAAAATTTTTTTTCAATGTTTTATGTACTTTTGAGACAGAGAGACAGAGTGTGAGTAGGGGAGGGGCAGAGAGAGAGGGAGACACAGAATCCCAAGCAGCTCCAGGCTCCGAGCTGTCAGCACAGAGCCCGACGTGGGGCTCGAACCCATGAACCCCCAGATCATGACCTGAACCGAAGTTGGCGCTTAACTGACTTGAGCCTCCCAGGCGCCCCAGCCAGCAAATGTCTTTTTAAACATTGTTGCAGATTTTCATTTTGTAGCCTGTTGTGCTGCTGCGTTTTGACTGACATTTTTAAATTTTACACAGGTGACATTATTGAATTTCATGGTCCAGAGGGAACAGGAAAAACAGAAATGTTTTATCATGTAACAGCGCGATGTGTGCTTCCAAAATCGGAAGGCGGACTGGAAGTCGAAGTTTTGTTTATCGATACGGATTATCACTTTGACCTGCTTCGGCTCGTCACGATTCTCGAGCGTAGACTGTCCCGGGGCTCGGAAGAAGCGGTGCGGCAGTGCCTCGCTCGCCTGTTCGTGGTCAGCTGCGGGACCAGCTCGCAGCTGCTGCTCACCCTGTGCTCCCTAGAAACCACCGTCTGCAGCCGCCCCGCCCTCTGCCTGCTGATCCTGGACAGCCTGTCCGCCTTTTACTGGACAGACCGCGCCAGCGGCGGGGAGAGCGTTAGCTCCCAGGAGTCCGCGCTCAGGACGTGTTCCCGGTTCCTGGAGAGACTCGCCGTCGAGTACCGCTTGGTTGTCCTCGCGGCCACACAGAGTCTGATGCAGACGGCGTGGCAGGGGCCGGCCGGGGGGCCCGGCGAGCCCGAGGCCCACTACAGGCCCTACCTGTGCAGGGAGTGGCAGCGGCTGGTAAAGCTCAGAATGTTCTTCTCCAAGCAAGATGATCTGAAAACTGACACCCAGTTTTCTTTAGTTTCACGTCATTTAAAAAGTAACAGTTTAAAAAAGCATGTTTTTGTTATTGGAGAAAGTGGCATTGAGTTTCGTTGATGCGGCTTGAAAAATAGTGTTTTCCAGGATACTATACAAAATTTAAAAAGTCTCTTAATGGGCTAAAATGATTCAGTTATAAAGTTTAAAACTCTGGGAGAATTAATATAAATGTTTCTATACAGAATGGATTTTTTTTTTTAAATGCTTTATTTACTTATTTTGAGAGAGAGAGGAGAGGGAGAATCCCAAGCGGGCTCTGCACCATTAGCACGGAGGCCTGTGCGAGGCTTGTTCAACAACGTGAGATCAGGACCTGAGACGGAACCAGGAGTCGGCTGCTCAGCCGACAGAGCCGGCCAGGTCCCCCCTCCCCCCCCCCAAATGGATTTCTTCAACTCGTGCAGTAAAAGCTGACACCACTCTGTTCTTGGGTTGTTGAAGAAGAATCAAGTGCTGGTAATAATTACTAAAGTGTCTATTAAGCTTGTTTTAAAACTAAATAAATAATCTACACATTGCAGCCTAAATAAAATGAACTTCCATAACTCGGTGTCACATCTCTGGGATTTCGTTAAATCCCTGTTTGCTTAGGGAACTTTAACTGCATTTCTGATTTCTCACACGTAACCCCTTCAGGAAGCAGCGACTTGGGAGAACGATTCTGTGGAGCTGCTGTGTCTGCACAGGGGATGGGAACAAGGAGCCACCCATCTGCCCTTCACACCAAAGCCTGGAGAGTGCAAGCGCTTTGATCTGAGTTAGACCCAGTCTGAAATGGAGTTGCATTCTGGTTGGGTTTTTATATAATTTTTTTAAAGCTCTTTTTTTTCCCCTAAGTTTTATTTATTTATTTTGAGAGAGAGGGAGGGAGAGAATCCCAAGCAGCCTCCTCCCTGTCAGCATGCAGCCCGATTCGGGGCTCCATCCCACGAACTGTGAGATCGTGACCTGAGCCAAATTCAAGAGTCAGATGCTCAGATGACTGACCCGCCCAGGCGCCCCTGTCTAATTTGTTAACTACAGGGAAATAATATACCCATTCAAGCAATTCTGTAAAGGTTGTTGTGAAATTTTCATCCCCTTGTTATATGACAGACAGATGCTGACTGTATTAGAACTGTATGTGACTAGTATGTTCTTACCCATTTAGGACGGGCCAGCTATTCCCTGAAATGAGTCCAATTATTTCCAGCTGAGAGCTGGACAAGGCTGTCTATACTTTGATCAAGGAATGGCCAGAATGGGGGGCCATGCATCTCAGGGGTTACACAGTGTATTGTGGGGAGGAAGAAAATCCTAAAACTTCTACTTCTGCATTCTTTTTAAATGCTTATTAATTTTTGAGACAGAGAGAGACAGAGCATGAGCGGGGGAGGGGCAGAGAGAGAGAGGGAGACACAGAAGCAGGATCCAGGCTCCGAGCTGTCAGCACAGAGCCGACGGGGGGCTCTTCCCCACAAACTGTGAGGTCCTGACCTGAGCCAAAGTCAGACGCCTAACCAACTGGGCCACCCAGGCGCCCCTACTTCTGCATTTTAATCTAAGAAAAGATTAAATTATATCAATATTTGATACTCCGATCGACTGTGGTTCACTCGTCGGTCTATGTGTCAGGTTGTCTGTCTGTATAGGCAACTGAGGTATTCTATGGGAAGAGTGGAAAGAATTGATGGTGGTGTTTTTGCGGGTGTATTCATTTATGTGTTACCTCCTTAGTTAAAAACTAAGTTGATTTACCTAACAAAGATTTTTTTAAAGGGCTTAAGAAGGGCCCTGCAAAGAAACTGAGATTAAAGAGAGCATTCTTCCTAACGCAGGGATAGCCCATGCAGCGTACCTGCCGGGCCCTGCACTTCCCAGAACCCGAGGCTGAGGTGACTTCCGGCTGCCCGAGCCTACTGGGCTGCGTTTGGGCCCGACAGGCCATCCCGAGCCAGGGAGCACCCCGCTGCCTTGCCCTGCAGCTCAGGGGACACGGAGGTTTTCTGCGAGTGGTCCCAGGATCGCTGCTCACCAGTTGCCTGCAGCAGCCACGTGCATTAGCGCGCTGCGTATTGCCTGCCTGCCTCCCCTGGCACTGCCCTCTCACGGGGCCCCCGGGGATGGGCTCCCTACTCACCTGCCAGTCCTGGTCCAGGAGCTACTTCTGTTGTGGGGGTGAGTGAACCAAGCTGTCAGCAGACAATAAAAAGTTGTCAGACTAACAGCCTCTCGAGGCCCAGTATTTGCTCTGCAGCCACACTGAAATTTAAAATGATGGCGGGCTAATTGGCAATCCGGTAAATTACACTGGGTCCCATCCTGCCATTCACACCCCCGCAATAAATTTTATTTGTCCGCTAATAAACTTCCAAATTATTTTATTTTATTTTTTTAAATATTTTTATTTCTAGGAGAGAGAGAGACAGCGTGAGCAGGGGAGGGTCAGAGAGAGAGGGAGTCACAGACTGAAACAGGCTCCAGGCTCTGAGCTGGCAGTTAGCACAGAGCCCGACGTGGGGCTCGAACCCACGAACCGCGAGATCATGACCTAAGCGAAAGTCGGACGCTTAACTGACTAAGCCACCCAGGTGCCCCCAAATTATTTTAAAATACAACATATTTTATCCCTAGTTCTTCCTTTTTCACTTCGTATTTTTATGTTTTTTGTTACATGCAATACATGTTATACATAAGTAATTTATAAACATTGGTATGTTGGAAAATATGCTTATGTTTCCCTCTGGTACATGTGCGGTCGGTAAGATTGAGGCCCTTTTGCTCTAGAGCACTTCTCTTTGGAGCTGTTAGGAAAAGATGGGAAAATTCTGTACCTTCCCTGTCAAGCTTTGGGTGTGTGTATTACATGTAGGTATGAAAAACTTCACAATTCTTAGCAGAATTCTATCCTTAGAATATGATAGTTTCTATTTCTCCTCCGTATAAATGAAGTATTAACTTAATGGACTGTTATTCGCAGATTTATAACTTACTCTTCGGGAACATGATTAAAAAATAATGAACTTTTATATTAACTTAAATTATCAATTATATATTAATGTGTCAGACCAAAGACTTAGTTATCTTAAAAAGATTTGTTACCTGACATGTTGGAAAGAATTAAGAATCATGGTTAATAAAAAATTCTTTTAAACTAAAAGTGATACCGATAGGATTTCTCGAACAGTACCGAAAATTTAATATTTACAAAAAGAATGAGGCTGACGGGAAGAAGTTAGACAGATAGCAGATACTGGGGTGCTTGGTCAGAACCAGAAGAATAATGGGAGCGAAGGATTACAAATCCCAGAGTATTTATTCCATTTGCTGATTAAAAAAAAAAAGGGGTGAACTTATCAGGATCATTGTGAGAATCTGGTAAAAGAAAACCTTATATGAAAGGTATTGCAGACATTCATCTGATAAATGGTACACAACATTGAGGTAACGTTTACCTTCGCACTTCCTTCGTAGAAAGTTTTCAGCCTTCAGCTACCAAAGGCCGTATCACTAATACTGTTCCAAAAAAATTTAGGCAGACTATTCTGCTGTATGGATTATTCAAGAATGAGGATGAAATAGACAATTTCAGATGAACAGAAACTGAGAATTTACCACCAAAATCACCTTGCTAAAGGAGTTTTTTGTTTAATTTTTCCTAATGCTTATTTATTTTTGAGAGACTGAGAGTCAGAGTGAGAGCAGGGAAGAGGCAGAGAGACAGGGAGACACAGAATCTGAAGCGGGCTCCAGGCTCTGAGCTGTCAGCACAGAGCCCGATGCGGGGCTCGAACCCACGAACCGTGAGACGAGGACCTGGGCCACTTAAGCCACTGAGCTACCCAGCCTACCCCTAAAGGAATTTCTAAAAGATAAACTTTAAGGAAGGGGAATATTCTCACAGAAGGTCTGAGATGTAAAAGTAACAGTAAAGAAAATAGTAAGCACTTGAGTAAATCTAAATAAATATCAATAGCGTAAACAGTCATTTGTGGGGAGAAGGGAACTGTATAAGTAGAAAGTCTAGGTATCCTATTTAGCCTAATGCATGTAAAGTAGGTAATTGAAATTGTATCAGTCTAAATGTCTTGTATTATTTTGTGTTTGGGAGTTTTTTGTTTTTTGTTTTTTCTTTTGTTTTTTTTTTTTTTTTTGAGTGTGAGAGCATGAGCAGGGAGGGGAGGAGCACAGGGAGAGAATCCCAAGCAGGCTCCAGGCCCCGTGTGGAGCTCCATGCTGGGCTCTACTGCACCGTGAGATCATGACCTTAGCCGAAACTAAGAGTGGGACACTCAAGTGACTGAGCCACCCAGGCGCCTCGAGGGGATTTTTTTTAAACTTAAGTTAAATTCATATTGTGTCCCTCAACTAATTACCTTTTGTGAAAATGGGACATTCCTGCAGAGTCTACTGACCTTCAGAAGATAAGTTATTAGGAATTATTTCATGCTCAAGATTTTTGAAAAGTGGTAAAATGAGCAAATTAGTAGAAAAATACAGCTTATTAAAGTCTGTACGAGGACACATTTTAAAAGTTTCAATAGTCTATAACTATTAAAAAATTGGATCAGAAATTTAAAACGTAAGGAAACTCCAGGCTTTGATAGTTTCTCCAATGAGTTTTATCAAGCGTTTGAAGGAAGAATGGTATCAATTTTATTTGAACTCTTACAGAGATTAATAGAAAAAGATGGTTGGATTCCAATTCATTTAACCAGGCTACCAGCACTACGATGCAAAACTGGACAGAGACATAAAGGGAAAGTGCAAGCGTTTCTCACTGATGGACATATATGCAAAAATACTAAACACAATCAACAATTCGATGAGATATAAACAGGCTACAACATCATGACCAAGTTGGATTTATCCCAGGAACACAAGATTGGTTAGCATTTGAAAATCAATATAATTTAACATATGAACTGGGTTGATTTAAAGGGAAAAATATAAGATCCTATCAAACAATGTAGAAGAAGTGTTTGATAGGATTCAGTATCTTCATGATAATAAGTCAATGTAAATTTCACACAGATTAAAAGTAAAAAATAGTATATCAGTAGACACAAAAGCTTTTAATGTGTTGCTTTTTTTGAGAGAGAGCGTGTGAGCAGGGGAGGGTCAGAGAGAGAGGGAGACTCAGAATCTGAAACAGGCTTCAGGCTCTGAGCTAGCTGTCAGCACAGAGCCCGACGCGGGGCTCGAACCCACTAACCGCGAGATCATGACCTGAGCCGAAGTCAGACGCTTAACCGACCAAGCCACCCAGGCGCCCCAAAAGCTTTTAATAAAATACATCTTTTCATGATATCCTTACCATAGAATAGAAAATAATTTTCCTTGAGCTGATAAAGGTCTCTACAAAAAAATCCCATAGTAAACGTTACTAATAGTGAAATAAAAGCATTACCTTTAAAATCAACAGAACAGGGGGCTCAGTCAGCTTGATTACGGCTCAGGTCATGATCTCACAGTTCCTGAGTTCGAACCCCGAGTCAGGCTCTGCACTGACAGCACAGAGCCTGCTTGGGATTTCCCTTTTGTCCTCTCTCTCCGC